TGTATATGTGTGTATGGACATAGCAGTCTGTGTGTGTGTGCAGTGGTGTATTTTGTATTTGTGCTGCCCTAGGCACGACTAAATTCGGGCACCCCCAAAATCTAAATTCCCCCCCCCCAATTTGTGTAAAGGCCACTTTTTTGACTGACAGACACATGCCCTCATTGATACATGCACTGATATATACTCACTGACCGATACAGTCATTGGCACACACATACAGTCATTGGCACACACTGTTTAACCAACACACACTTTCACTGACAGGCACACACTCTCAGCTACACATAAAATGGCATACACACACTGACACACACTCACAGGCACACCCATTCTCACTGAAAGACACACACTTTCACTCACTCACAGACACACACTGACAGCTACACTCACTCACTGTAAGGTGGACAGCCCCAGAACATGAGGCAAACAAGGCATTTGTCTGGGAGCTTGGAGTTGCATTTTTTGGCACCCCCCCTGAAAGTGCCGCCCTAGGCAAATGCCTTGTTTGCCTTGTGGTAAATACATCCCTGTGTGTGTGTGTGTATGGACATAGCAGTATGTGTGTGTGTATTTGTGTGTGTATGGACGCAGCAGTCTGTGTGTGTGTATATGTGTGTATGGACATAGCAGTCTGTGTGTGTATGTGTGTGTGTGTATGGACTCAGCAGTCTGTGTGTGTGTGTGTGTGTGTGTGTGTATGTGTGTATAGCAGACTGTGTGTGTGTATGGATGGACTCAGCAGTCTGTGTGTGTGTATGGACTCAGCAGTCTGTGTGTGTGTGTGTGTGTGTATGGACTCAGCATGTCTGTGTGTGTATGGACTCAGCAGTCTGTGTGTGTGTATTGTGTGTATGACTCGGCATCTGTGTGTGTGTGGACAGCAGTCTGTGTGTGTGTGTATGGACTCAGCAGTCTGTGTGTGTGTGTGTGTGTGTGTGTGTGTGGACATGTGACTCAGCAGTCTGTGTATGTGTGTATGTGTGTATGGACTCAGCAGTCTGTGTGTGTGCATGGATTCAGCAGTCTGTGTGTGTGTGTGTGTGTATGGACTCAGCAGTCTGTGTGTGTGTATGGACTCAGCAGTCTGTGTGTGTGTCAGCAGAGTCTCTGTGTGTGTATTGACTCTGCAGCAGTCTGTGTGTGTGTGTGTGTGTGTATGGACTCAGCAGTCTGTGTGTGTATGTGTGTGTATGGACTCGCAGGTCTGTGTGTGTGTGTGTGTGTGCATGGACTCAGCAGTCTGTGTGTGTGTGTATATGTGTGTGGACTCAGCAATCTGTGTGTGTGCATGGACTCAAAGTGTGTGTGTGTGTGTGTGGACTCAGAAGTCTGTGTGTGTATGGACTCAGCAGTCTATGTGTGTGTGTGTGTGTGTGTGTGTGTGTATTTACTCAGCGGTCTGTGTGTGTGTATGAACTCAGCAGTCTGTGTGTGTGTGTGTGTGTGTGTGTGTGTGTATGGATTAAGCAGTCTGTGTGTGCATGGACTCAGCAGTCTGTGTGTGTGTGTGTATGGACTCAGCAGTCTGTGTGTGTATGGACTCAGCAGTCTGTGTGTGTGTGTGTGTGTGTGTATGGACTCAGCAGTGTGTGTCTGTGTGTGGACTCAGCAGTCTGAGTGTGGACTCAGCAGTCTGTGTGTGTGTATGGACGCCGCAGTCTGTGTGTGTGTGTATGGACTCAGCAGTCTGTGTGTGTATGGACTCAGCAGTCTATCAATAATTCAAATTCCTGTGAGTTGTTGTGTAGGAAGGGCCCCAGTGCATTACTTTGCCCGGGAGCCCTTAACTCTGTTAAAATGGTACTGCTTCTGTGTGTCAGTGAGCCTCTATTTAGTGAGCATGTGTGTGTCAGTGAGCTTGTCTTTAGTGGCTTGTGTGTGTCCCTGAACTTCTTTGTAGTGAGCCTTCTGTTTATACAAGTGAGTTTGTCTGTAGTATGCCTGTGTGTGAGTCAGAGAGTTTTGTCTGTCAGTAAGCCTATTTGCGCATGTCAATGAGCTTGTGTGCTTACTGTACTATATATATAGATATATATTTATTTTGACTTGTAGGAATGGCATTTTTGGGTTCCCAGGGATTCCCAGTTTGGCTCTGCCAGCGAGTGCACTTTACAGCTGAATCATCTGTATGAGCTGCCACACACTTTAGCCCTGTTACACGCATCTGGGAGCTGCTGTTGACAGGTACTAGTAGTCTAGAGATTGGGACATGGGGTATATGCTCAGCTATTTGTATATAATATCCTGGGATAGTCAGTGCTTCCTGTATAGTGCTGCTCTCTGTATAATACAGGCCTGTGCCTGTATAATATCCCGGGACAGTCAGTGCTCCCTGTATAGTGCTGCTCTCTGTCTTGGGATATTATACACAAACAGACCTGTATTATACAGCAAGTAGCACTATCCAGGGAGCACTGAGTGACCCAATTTATTAAACACACAACCCTGTATTATACAGAGAGCACTGATATTATACCCAGACAGTAATTGATAGCTGTGCTGCAAAATGTCCTTGGAAATTTTTTTCAAATGTTGGCAACTATGGCACTGTATCAAGGGTAATGTGTTTGTTTTTTAATAATCCCTGGTGGAAAATAATGAATCCTCCACCAGGGATTATTAAAAAAAAAAAAACACATTGT